ATATAATGATGGAATCAATTTTTATTAACGTAATTTATGAGACAATTAAATAAGAAAAAAAAACACCCAAATTAAAGATAATTATGGAATCAATTTAATCCCTTATTAATAGGAATCCACTAAGCACTAAAAACTTCACCCTTTAAAATTCCTTATCTATAGGCAACCACTTTCATTAAAAATTTAAATTAAAGAAAACTTTAAATTAAAAAAAAAAACAAAAAAAGAAGAAGAAGACTTTCATATCAATAGAGAAAACCAAAATCACCGAGAAAAGAAAAATTGAAAGTACGACAAAAAATAAAAAAATAAACAATTAATATAAGGAAAAGGAAAAAAAAAAACTGTCAAAATAAAAATATCTAAAATACCCCTAAATTTAGGTTTAGGGTTATAGTTCAAAATATCTTCTTTTTATATATAAGATAATATATCCTACATAAATTATTTAATACTTTATTTAAAATTTTGCCAAATTAATTTATTATTCATATTGTTGAATATATATATATATATATATATATATATATATATATTTTAAATGGTCGGGTACCCATGACCGTAAAGGTAAAACCAAAACCATACCAAAACCATGACGGATTTCTTTTCTTTTAGCTATTATGTTATCAAGTTATTTAATTTGATATCATATTTTCTTATAAGGACTTGTACCAAATATTTTTACCAATTACAATAAAAATATCCACAAGTAGAATAATTTAGTGAAAAAGTTTATGATTTTAAGTATCTCAGTGTGATTTATTTTTTTTACCTTTTCTTTTTGCACTTCATACGCTTGAAATTAGGTTGGAGGATATAAAAAAAATATTAAATTTACTATTTTGCACCTTAAAAAAAACTGCCCTCATTTGTTTTAAAAATTCAATCCAATGTATATTGTGAATAATTAATTGTATTTTGAGGGTTCAAAATACTATTAATTTTTCTTAAGAATGCAAAAAAAGGCCAAAATTCTACATTTCAATGGTGCAAAATGTAAAGAATATATTTTGAAGGGAGAGATATATAGGAAAATAAATACTAATATAACTAATAAAGTTCAGGGGGTTAAAGTGCAAAAACAACGAGGATCACGGGTAACTTGCGTAACACCCCTTAAAGTGTAGGGGGGTTAATTGCAAATTCGCACTTTAATTTAACCGAAAAATGTCCCTACTTTTTCCATTTGCGCAGTGAGCAGGTGAGCATTTCCGGCGATTCTCTCCGGTTAGTTTCCTATTCTTCTTCGAATTTCTCTAATTTCATTTATTAATATCAAAATTCCAATTTTTTTGTTGTGAAATTATTAGTGAAAACCTTGCTGAATCTGAAATAGTTCTTCATTAAGAAACTAATAATTTTAGGGCTTATTTCAAATATCCCCGAAGATTTTGGTGTTTTTTTTTTCCATTAATATTATTTGTTTGCTGTTCAGTTTGGTTAAATCTGGGCAGATTATTTCTAGCTTAATTTCAGTTTTTAATTTTTTGGGGGGAGAAATATTCACTGTTGAATTAGGGAAGTCTTCGATGATTTGAGATTGAGTTTATTTGCAGATATGAATTTTACCCTCTTACCTGCTGTAATCTGGTTCGTCGAGGTATTTGTGTAAATAGGTGTAATCCGCGGAATCGCAGAAACTATCGAAATAAAAGAAATGACAATAATAAATATACGAAAGAACCTTTTTTTTTCTGATTCGTACGATGCAATTGGAGCTCGTGGGCAGAAACAAATCAATTTAGATAGTACTTTGTGGCGACTAGATCAACGGGTTGTTGCTTCAAGAGAAACTCCGATCGAAGTTCACTATGAATCTTTAGGCATTTATTATGAGATTTATGGATATTATCTACTAGCAAGAAGTATAAAAAAAGAAGTCAGCACTTTGAAACATTTGTATTCATCGTAATTGCGATCGTAGTATTTGATTCTCTTTTTCTATACCCATCACATTTTTTTCTAAGTGGATCAGGAGATCCGATTTATCGTTGAATCATTTTCATTTTCTCTGTTTATAACATGTATGAATGCGACTTTATTTAGAAATTATCGGCTTTTCTCGCCATGTGGATATGAACATTATTTAGAAATTCCCAAGGATTGCTTTTGCTGATGAATTAGTAAAGAGTAATCGTCTGAGTCGCACATTCTTTATTTGAGATAATAATTATTATTACATTCTTTTTGTTTTCCAGTTTTTCAGATCTTGCACGAGGCGGGAATAATTAGATAGGAAGACAATGCATCCTCATTTAACGATCCACAGGCATCCAATGTGTGCTGAAGTGAGTTTCATCGCATATCGACTAATCTTTTTTTACCTTTTATGTGGATTGGACACGTATTGATACTTATATGACTCTTGTCTGTAGATTATCGAGCAGTTCCAGAAATGCCATACAGACCATCCTTTTGGAAAGTTTTTTGGCGAATGCACTGATCTTAAACTTAAGCTCGATAAATGTTTTCGACAGGAGGTAAAGTTTAATATATGGTTGCATTCTTCATCGAATTCTAGAACGAATATTATGATGAACTCGACTGGGACCTTTTTCCTTGTGCAGAAAGCCGTGAAGCGGAAGGCAAATTTTGAAGAGAGCAAAAAATTGAAAGAGAGATTGAGAGCATACAGGAAAGAAAGTTCTGAGATGAGAGAGGAAGAAATTTCTGCATAGGTTAAATCTTTATTACCAAGGTATCAGAGCTACGTATATCGAGGGCTTGTTGCTTGAATATACAGATTGTATTTATGCAGTCCTTTTGTTTGCTCAAATGTCTAAATAACATAAATCGAACTTCATATGCCATAGTCGCGACGGCCTTGAACCCAGTCGCTGTAATATAGTATTATTGGAGGGTTCGTTTTGTTAGAATTCTCTAAATAATAATACAATTTCCTGGATACGTCAGCAAAAATTCTCGAAATAGAATTTGGTTAGAAAAGATTGTTGTGATCGTTTCTTATACATATATATTTTGTGTTTTTATTTTTGTTCTTAGCTGCTTCGCTAGTAATTCCAATCATTGTAATTTTCGTAATTAGACCTTACCTCCGGGCGTTTCTCGTAATTTGCCCTATATTCTAAGTCCCCGTTTGATTGGCAAGATAAGATTAGCCAAGATAAGATTAAATAATCTAATGAAACCCAATTATTTTATTATCGAAGCTTGCAACGTCCAACAAAAAAAACTAAAACCATGATTATATAATTTTGGAGGGTCGACCCGGCAATGTATTGGGATACCAAACATCAAATTAGGTCCAACTATTTTGTTAATCATGGCTTATCTTGGCAACCAAACGAGGCCTAAATCTATTCTACTAGAATCATTGTCTCGAAATTGAAAGAATCTCTTTGAACACATGGTAACGAAGGATAGATCGAGAGAGAAACAAACATGAAAGAATGTAAAAATAAGAGAGAAACTTAAAAATAGGCAAATTAAGTAAAAGCTCATAGGTTGTCCAAAAGACCAGAATGTTAATATCTGGGCAAACACCAATAAATGATATATGCAGTTTATTCATGTCTTCAAACGGAACGTAATCTCTAACATTGTCGAAACAATAATATGAGAGTAACAAAAACTCAAAAACTGTTGGCATAGGTCGAAACATAAACACCACAGCAAGGGATAACAATTTTTATCTTATTCGACGGGGTATATATTTTGCTCTCCTTTACTAAAGAAAGAATCTCCTACTCAACCAATAAACCCACCATAATTTCCAACTGCCAGAAAACAAAATACGCGTTTGCAAAACAACTACTTCAAGCAGTTGCCTCCTTGAGGTATGCAATCAGATCTGCACGCTCCTTCGGTTTCTTCAGCCCGGGGAACACCATCTTAGTTCCAGGAATGTACTGCAACAACATAATTCACACATGGTTAGGCTAGTAATTCAACAATTAATAGAACCAGAAAAATTATACTCTAGCAGTCACATTTTATAACTCGAACGAAACATAGCAACGAGAAGCTAGATTACAGTCATTTTGATTAATCTTAATGCCAAACTTGTACAAACATGTGGAGTGACCACCAGCTGCTGATATATAATGGGCTTTAAGGGAAACTTGTTATACAACTTTCGTTCAAATCACTGCACTTAGTAATTGAAATACGGGATACTATAAAGACGAAACTAAAACTACGCCGTTTACCCCATTTTGTAACTACATTAGAAATCTTAGTTGACAGATAATCAAGCAAACACTAATGTGATAGCTTGACCAAACACAGCAACCACTCATTATCAAAGTTTGTTGTAACCATTCGGCATAAGCAATTTACATAAATCTACAAGTCAATCTCATGAAAATTTAGTACGCATCGAGTCCACCAACTTTCTATTGGTTAGATATCTCTAGTTTTCTAGACACTACTCATGCCCCCACTCGCTTACTGCTATAAAAAAATCAACTTTTGTGGGAAATAAGTTCCAATCCAGAAAAAACAATATCGAAAATAAA